CATAAATTTCCTCACAGAGTAAGAACATATTCTGTGTACTTCCCCCTAAATAAAATACAAGGAAAAATTGGGCAGGAAAGTGTCCCTACGGAAGCTGGTAAGAAAGGAGATGGGTAGATTAGGATGCAGAAGCAGACTCTGAAGAAGAAATCATGGTCCATTTTACCCTGGAGTGGTACAAATTAGAGAATAACCCAAGGATTATCTAGTGCTATGTATGTCCCCATTGCACCATATACATTTACATGACCAATTTCAAGGGCTACCTATGAATAGATTGATTTAGTAAGCAAAGCAGAAATTTTTCTTGCTGTCTTGCTGATTGAAAGTTCTCTGAGAAAGGTACCCAGCCATGTCTAATAGTTTAAGATTTAAAAGTTCTATCTACCCCAATACCCAGACAGACAATGCATCAATATGGCCAGAGCATACGTAAATCTGAGGCATGGGAGGTACATCCTGGGTGCTGGTGTGACTACCTGAATCTATCCACCCCATATTCATTTTTCAAAAAGTAAACAAGCCATGTCTGCCAGTTACACTAAACAAATAAGCAACAAATGGTACGTAATGAAACTGCTCATTTTTTTTTCCTTACTGAGGAGTGCACAGCAAATGAAAAATAAACTACTTCATTTCTTTTTATTTGAAAAGCGAATGGCTAAGAATGAATTCATTTCCACCCTTGTGTTCTCTGGGCCCACTAAAGGAGAAAAAAAAAAGGAAGTTTGGGAGGGTATAAGACAGCATTTCAGTAAACTCCAGCATAAAAACACAAACCACAATAGCAATGAAAACAAAACAAAGAAAAATACACAGAACACTAAGAAATATGAGGCATCAGAGCATGTTGAGGAATCATAAGGCAGTGTGGTTAAGCCTCCAGGGATGGGATTCCAAACCACTCTACAAGTTCTTTCTAGTTTGTATCATGTACTTAATTCTGAGCCAATGTTTTGTAAGATACAAAATTCTACCAAACAAAAAATAAGCACAGTTTTGGGTATCACCATACAAGACACTATGTCAGGCACTGAAGAATATTAAAAAATATGTATGTGAGTTGTGACTCCTGCTTTCTCAAGGCGCAAAATGTAAATTGATAATGCATAGGCATATGAAAATACAAATAAAATGCTAAATAGGAAGCAAAAAGTGCTAATGGACAGAGCTGGTAATAATAACAATGCACAAAAACAGCCAAGCTGTCATCCAGAGGCAATACTAAAAAGAGTTCACAGTGTGGACACTAGAGACAGCCTAACTGAAGGTTTAAACCTCACCTTTGCCATAATAGCTACACAAAATAGGGCCAGTTAACTGACCTCTCTGTGAATCCTTTTTTTTTGTTGTAACTAGAGAACAGACCAAACTATAGGGTTGGCTGTATGAGGAGAAATGATGCTTGTGAAGTATCCAACGGGGCTAAGCCCTCGGTAGAGTGCTTGGTAAAAGATATAAAAAGTCACTAACACAGTGTCTTTAGTAGCAAAACCAATATGTGAATAATTATGATAAATCTGGGGTAGCACTGAGCACAGGACACCAGGATGAAAATTGGGAGAAAGGGCATAACCTAGACTGAGAAGGCTTTCTCTAACCAATAATATTGAGGCTCAGCTTTGAAGAGGAGTGAGGACAGGATTGGGGGAAAGGTGAGGGAAGACAAGAAAGATGATGAGAACTCCAGAAAGAAAGAAAGAATTACTAAAGCTTATATTCATTAGGAAAAAAAAAATTATAATAAGATTGGTAATGGCATGCTGAATATATGGTCTTCAAAAGTATTAAAAAAAAAAAAAAAAAAACCAAACCCGTTGGCGTCAAGTCAATTCCAACTTATAGTATAGTTAATGCTTATTGAATGCTTCAGTGTGGCAGCCATTTTGCCTGAGTTATCTCATTCAATTTTCACACCAACCTACAAAAGGTCATATACACTATGGAAATCTGGAGGTGGAAAAAGTGCATTGTAGCTATAAGAATGAAGGAGAAATTCATGGAAGAACTGTATTGCCAAGTATAGTGGAACTTGAATAGGAAGAGAGGCAGTGTGATAGCATCCGTCATGGATTGAATTATCTCCCCCCAAAAATGTGTGTATCAGTTTGGCTGGGCCATGATTCCTGATATTGTGTGATTTTCCCATATGTTGTAAATCCTGCCTCTATGATGTTAATGAGGGAGGATGGGTGGCAGTTGTGTTAGTAAGGCAGGACTCAATCTACAAGATTGGTTTGTGTCCTGAGGCAATCTCTTGAGGTATAAAAGAGAGAAGTGAGCAGAAAGACAGAGGACCTCATACCACCAAGAGAGCAGTGCCAGGAGCAGAGCGCATCCTTTGGACCTGGGGTCCCTGCGTGGAGAAGCTCCCAGTCCAGGGAAACATTGATGAGAAGGCCAACAGAGAGAGAAAGTATTTCTCTGGAGCTGGCGCCCTGAATTTGGACTTTTAGCCTATTTTACTGTGAAGAAATAAATTTCTCTTTATTAAAGCCATCCACTTGTGGTATTTCTGTTATAGCAGCACTAGGTGACTAAGACAGAATTTAGTACTGAGAGAGTTGGGTGCTGCTCTAACAGATACCTAAAATATGGAAGCAGCTTTGAAACTGTGAATGGATAGAGGAGCAGCAGCGGCAGAGGAATAGCAGCAGCAGCAGAGAACCTGCACTGGTAGAGAAGTGGCAACAGCAGAGAACCAGCAGCAGCAGAACCAAGAGACCAGTGCCAGATGGCGCTGGAGCTGACCCATGGAGTGAGGGAGCTGAGTGCCTGTGCACAAGAAGGCTTCCTGGCAGAGTAGGGTGCCTCCGGGCACTTACCAGTGGAGTTACCGAGCTTTGGAACACTTGCCCCAGCAGGGCAGATGCAGGCGTGAGGCCTGAGGGCCGAGAGGCCACGGGAAGCAAAAGCTGAAGAGACAAGGGACACAAGAAGCTGTGCTACCTTAGTCTCAAAAGGTATGGCATGACCTTGGGTTTCAAAGGGTGGAGCCATGGCCTCTGGTGTTTCTAAGGGTGGAGTTGTCACTCCCATGGACTAGGAGAATGGTGCGCCTAAAGCTGAGGGAGCAGAGTTGCTATCCCAGTGGGCCTAGAAGGCTGAGCTGAAGCCCAGGGCCAGGGGCTTCCACTCAGAATCCAGAGACTGTGGCCAATACCTAGAGTCTGGAGGGCAGGGCTATTGTGTAAATGGTCTCAGAGAACAGAAGATTATTTTTCAAAGCCTTGAGGGCTAATGTAATGTGTTCTGCTGACTTGCTTGGTGCCTGTTATCCCTTCTTTCCTTCCAGTTTCTCCCATTTGTAATGGAAATGTCTAGCTTGTGCCTGTTCTGTCATTGTACCCTTGGAAACAGATAACTTGTATTCTAGATTTCACAGATGAAGAGGAATTTTTGGATTATGGACTTGGAGTTAAGACTTTTGCTGGGATGTGATGGGGTGAATATGTTTTCCATGTTGCAAGGATATGATTTTTTTTGGGGCCAAAGAGTGGAACATCATGGTTTGAATTATGTCCCCCAAAAAATGTGTGTCTCAGTTTGGCTGGGCCATGATTCCTGGTATTGTGTGATTTTCCTATATGTTGTAAATCCTGCCTCTATGATGTTAATGAGGGAGGAGGGGTGGCAATTGTATTAGTAAGGCAGGACTCAATCTACAAGATTGGATTGTGTCCTGAGGCAGTCTTGAGGTACAAAAGAGAGAAGTGAGCAGAGAGACGGGGACCTCATACCACCAAGAAAGCAGTGCCAGGAGCAGAGTGTGTCCTTTGGACCCAGGGTCCCTGTGCAGAGAAGCTCCTAGTCTGGGGGAACATTGATGAGAGGGCCAACAGAGAGAGAAAGCCTTCCCCTGGAGCTGACGCCCTGAATTTGGAATTTTAGCCTACTTTACTGTGAAGAAATAAATTTCTGTTTGTTAAAGCCGTCCATTTGTGGTATTTCTGTTATAGCAGCACTAGATGACTAAGACAGCATCCCAGGAAGGGACAAATAACAGTGGTGGTAAAGGGCTTATCATTACTTTTAAAGGAGTCATGCATTATCATTGAGCTATTATGGGCAGTCTCTGGGTGGTGCAACGGTTGGCAGCTTGAACCCATCCAGTGGCATTGCAGAAGAAAAGATTGGTGATCTGCTTCCATAAAGATTACAGCCTAGAAAACCCTATGGAGCAGTTCTACCCTATCACACATGGGTTGCCATGCGTTGGAATTGACTCAACAGCAATGGGTTTGGTTTTTTGGTTTACTATGGAGCCCTGGTGGTGTAGTGGTTAAGAGCTTGACTGCTAACCAAACGGTCGGCAGTTCAAATCTACCAGCTGCTCCTTGGAAACCCCATGGGGCAGTTCTACTCTGTCTTATATGGTCATTATGAGTCGGAACTGACTCGACGGCATTTAACAACAAAAACACGAGCACTAGGTGCCCTGGTAGTGCAATGGTTAAGAGCTTGGCTGCTGACCAAGAGGTTAGAGGTTTGAATACACCAGCTGCCTCTTGGGAACCCTATGGGGCAGTTCTACTCTGTTCTGTAGGGTCACTATGAATCAGAATTCACTCTACGGCAACGTGTTGGGTTTTTGTTTGTTTTTTTTATGTGCACTAATTGATACATCAGAGGACTTCTAGGTTCCAACGAAGTACATCATCACAGTAGAGTAGACCTGGAAGGTTCTTTACATAAAAGAAGCTAGGAATTGACTTGGTTGTCTCTCTGGGGATGATAACTTGAATACCAAGAAGCTTGCCTTAGGGAAGATTTGGACACAGGATCTTCATGAGTAAGTATGTAAGTAAGTAAATAAATGGGGCTTGTTTCACATACACTCAGACATAATCAAGCAAATGAATTCAGCTCATCAAATAATTATTTTGTTAATATGTTGAATTAAATAGTTTCTGAATTGTTCTTTTCAAATTAATTGTCTGTATCTCACTATTGCCAGGATCAACAATATGTGATGTAGACATCACCATAACATGCCATACCATTTTCCCTTGCCAACTGTATCTCAAGAGTTCAGTGACGATGTGGTCAGACTGTGGGGTCTCTGGGCTCTCCTCCCTCTTTCTAACAGTTGAAATCAGTAGCTACTCTCTGCCCAGAGTTTGATAGTAGCAGCTTGAAGAAGTTTGATCCTTCTCCCAAGTTGTTTTTTTCCCTCCTAGAGATTCAGCCTTTTAGTCTGTGGGTGGTTTCTGCTTTTGTGTCTGGGTGGTGGTTTCATTATGCAGAAGGGTTTCCTTTGTGTTTTCTTCTTGATTCAGGAATTTTACCAAAAGTGGTGGCCTGCTTAATTTGTGACGTTTTTTAGTTATACTTTGTTAGTTCCCAGAGCCTGTTGGGCAAGGTGTCCTGGGGAAATAAAAAATTATTACTGTCATCATGAAATTCTGAAATTAAGACCACCTTGCAAAACAGTTGAATTATAAACGTGGTGTGTCGTCTTATTACCCAATCAACTGGCCAGTAACACGAGACGGTTATTAGGCTGTGCTGTGTGAGCAAAACTTCCTCCTCCTAATGTGATGGAATTAATTCATACAACCTGATAACAAGGTTATTACAATGCGAACAATGGTTTAAAAGTGGCTTGCATGGAACAGCCAGGCGCCATCGAACATTTCAGATCAAAGGTCTGTTGAACAGAAAGAACAAATAGAATCAATTTCTTGAACTGTTTCTGCATTTCCAAATTTGCAAAACATTATAACACAGAATGTGACTTAATGAAGTACAGATGAGAAGGACCAGAGAAAAGCTACTTCTAATGCAACAATGAAAATTAATGTAGTACTTTGGATTCTTTTTTTCCTCTATGGAAACAAACTAGTTATAAAAGACAGCTTTGTACTCCGAAAATCCTGGACTTTGAAGCTAGTCAGGACTTCAACAACTAGCTTGGTCACAGATAACAAACAGTAAAGAGATAAATTTGTCACTTTTCATGTAGGTTGCAAAGTTATATGTTATACTATTTATTTAAAAAACAGCAGAATGCTTAATAAAGTGTTCATCTAACTGATACAGGTAACAGAAGAGCGTAGGCCATTTTACTTAAAAATCTGAAATTCGTGGTTAGTAGCGACCACAATAAAATTGATGGTGACTGAATGGTAAGGCTTTAGTTTCCTGGAACATTCATTTATATTAAAGGTTGTTTCTCAGTAACAATGTAATGTAAGAATTGTTGGAATGTAAGAAAAAGTATAGAAATTAATTATTAATTAAAAAATAATTTGTACTATGAGCCAGATTTTTTTCCAGGTTCTTTCGAGCTATCTGGGAATAGGTTAGCAATAACTGGAGAGTAAATTGCTAAGTGGAGCCTGGTGGTGCAGTGGTTAAGACCTATGACCACTAGTCAAAAGGTTGACAGTTCAAATCCACCAGCTGTCCCTTGGAAACTCTGTGGGGCAGTTCTACTCTGTCATATAGGGTCACTATGAGTCAGAATTGATTTGGTGGCAATAGTTTTTTGTAAATTGCTAAGTGGATGAAATTTTACAGAAATGAAATGTTAGGAAATTACTAGAATTTTAAAAAAGAAGTTAAAAAGTAATTTTAAAACTACCTAATATTAGATGAGAAAATTTATAAAACTAAAAAAAATCTACAAATAAAATATTAACCCATATTTTGAAAAACTTAATCTTTTAAAAATCTCACACAATATATGGCTTAAGGATATGCATCATGATTTTTTATTTGTAATACATTTCATTTAATTAGAAGTGACCCTTTTATAATTTATTAAGAATTAGAGTAATGGCAAGCATTTTATACTGTAAAGTAAAGCAGCTATTAGTAATTACTACCAAAAATCATTCTAAAATTATCCAGAAATATGTATTACATAAAAGTTTGCTGCACTATTTCAACCCATTTTATCATTTACCTACTGAAATTGTTTTAACCTGTTTTCATTTTTTGGATATTAGAAACTTAAAGACAAAGATATCAGGGTAGCAATATTTCAAATGGAAACTATGGAATAGGGCAGTGTAAATAATTTGTTTAACCTAATTTTTAATGACTAAAAAACTATCAGAAATATATACAAAGACAATGAAATGATACACAGCTAAAAATCTAGACAAAGTACTTGAACACATGAAATAAAAATAATTTATATTGACATCATTATCTTTCCACTGTCAAACTTTGTTGTCACAATGGCTAAAACAAGAAAAAATACCATTTAATATGGCTGAAATTTAAATTTTAAAATACAGTCTATTAAAAGGAAGACTCTGGACTAACCTGGTAGTTAAGTACATACTTGATTAACACTTTTCTACTGAAACATTCATGAAAATACAGAAGAAATCAAGTCCTACTAGCACTGGAAAATGAGGATATCAATCAATGAGCTTGCCTCGATTAGTAATAATTATCCCTTAAATACTTCACAGATCACCTGGATGAAGATTAGACGCTAATACATTCCTAGATCTAGAGAAAGGATGAGTGTTAAGAAATCCCCCACTAACTCCTCCTTTCTAAAAGGTTTTGGCCTGCGCTGCTCCTTCCCAACCCTTGTAACCATCAGTCTACTTTATGGGAACTGTTTTCTGGGGCCACCAAGGCCAATCACATCCCTTTCACACCCATCTCCTCCTGCCACCATAAGCTTCTAGGAAGACAGTAAGTCCAGCTCAAGAAAATGATAGATTTTACTTGCTGATTAAAAGTTTAGAAGTGACTAGAGATTAAAAAGAACACAAGGAATGATTCACTCTTCTAAAGAAATATAGATACAGGCCCACATTTGAGTAAAAGAAGAAGAACAAACTATTCTGAAATTCTCATGAATAAATGCACCTTTTTATAATTAGAAAGGAGCCCTGGTAGTACAATATAAGCATTTGGCTGCTAAATGAAAGGTCGGTGAACTCAACAGCTGCTCTGTGGGAGAAAAGGCCTATGGATGTGCTCCTTAAAGATTTCAGCCTAGGAAACTATGGGGCAGTTCTACTATATCCTATAGGGTTGCTATGCATCGGAATCAACTCAATGGTACACAACAACAACAATTAGAGGAACATAGAATAGAAAACATTTGACACGTGTATCTTTCAAAAACAATTTTAGGCGAGAGAGTATGTTTGTCAGCTTGAAATTTGTCAGTTTGGAAGGTTTGAAGGTTTAAAAAAACTGTTAGAAGTATATATAAAAACTGGGGTCCTATAAAAAGAGTCTGCAAACTACAAGAGAAAAATCAGTGCTTTAAGGGTACAAAGAAAGAGCATATCTATGAAAAACATGATTTTTGTAAGAAATGTTAATTTCTAGTAAATTTTTACCAGGAATGCACTTGTTTTACCTTCTCAATGAAAGAAGACTTGGAATTTATATGGCCAGAAATGGAAGATTCAATTTTTTTTTAAAAGGGCTTATATAGTTCGATGTACATAAGACTGGCAAAGGTAAGAAAATGATGCAGAGAAACTCTATACATAACAACAGAATTAAAATCTTTATTAGAGAAAGAAAAGAGCAGAATTAACACTGCAAAAAATTATACCAACAATGGAGATGGAAAATTCTGCAATTTCTAAGAATACAGAGGAAAAAGATGGAGGGAAATTTTGAGATGAAAATGATAGATATGAAAAATGGGGAAGAACAATTTTATGGTAAAGTGAGATTTACTGAAGATGAAAAATAGAACTGAAACAATCTTCAAAGACATGAACATTCGTAATAATAACCTTTTTGAGTTAAAAAATGTTTAAGTATACATTAAACATATTTTTAATGTGACTGGCAAATTAATGAAAAAATAAGTATGATTTTAAAAAAAGTTCTCAAGAAAAAGATATAAACAGGGAGGTAAAGCAGATTATTTGCCATGATCAAAATCAAGTTGTCCTCATATGACACTAACTGCCTGAAAACAATAGAGCAAATTAAGAAGTGTTTGAAAAAGAAAACCTGGCCAGAAAATTTGCTCTTCTAGTAATTATAATAAATTATATGGTTAAAATAATGCAAACAGTACTGTTGGGTGCAATGTCAAAGAAATGGAATTGATAACTCTGAAATATACTTATTTTAAAAAGGAAGATAATAAACAATAAAAAAGATCATCATAAAACCATATAGAAGTGATGATTATTCACCAAGTGGATTGAATGATTGACTACTTGAGTCACTTTACACTATACACGCAAATAAATTATGAGGGAATTAAACATTGTCAATGGATTATACAATTACATTTTTTAAAAGAACTTCTTTCAAAAATAAGCAACACAGGTGAAAGTTAACTATCTCTAATGTGTAAGGAATTTATTTTAAAGCAAAAATGCAAAGGCAATCATCTCGAAAGTAAAACAAATGTCTACACAGGTTTGACATTTATTTATGGTGAAATTAAAAGGAAATAAAATTTTAAGAAAAATATTTGTGGTTGGTATAGAATATGTAACAAAGATTAATATTTTATCAGAGAAGTGCTTATAATTTCTTAACAAAAATTTGCACCTCATTTTGGAAAATTTTGTTAAAGATATTGATACATATATATATATAAAACAGGCAGATCAGCAGGATTGCTGACATGCTCCCTATATGCCCTGGCAGCCACTATCACATTCACTGAGAATGATTTTGTTTCGAGTTTATTTTCCTCTCAATTTTCTCAGTGTGATCAATGAAGCAGGAACAATGATATATATTGTTAAAAAAAAAAAAAAAAAGAAAGTCAAGCTATTTTATCTTTTAACCAAATTTATAATTTATAGGAAGTGACTTGGAACACTTTTTCAACTGGAAGGTATACACTTACTAAGTCAGACTTTTTGAATTCAGGCTTATATTGTTACTTATCTTCATGGAAAAAGGTCAAAATCTGATTGGGTGAATGGGCATCCATTTGTCACCTTATTAATAAAGAATGAACTCATTGAGTAGACATCATTTCAAAGCTCAAGAGCCTCAATCATCAGTCGCCAAGGAAAAGTCTTTAAAATACGGAAAAAATCACTGTGATACAGTAAAATTTAAAAACTGAATAAAGCAAGTTGATTGTGAGGATCATGACTGTGTGACATTTCTTATATATGTGATGGAAATTACACCTTTAATGGCAAAAATTCAACCTCATGTTTTAAATACTACCTAATCCTGAAGATTCCTAAATCTATATCTTTAGCTCTGACCCTTCCCCAGACTTTCAGAGCTCTATATTCTTTCTTTAGGAGTGTATTAGTGGAAAAGTTTGAGAAGCATAACTTTAATGAGCTTATAATTTCTATGTAAATTAGAGCATGTGAACAAAATGAACCCATATTTGGGAATGTTGGCATAAGAATATTTGGCATAGGAAACATGTAACTCATAGTATTTTCTCTTGCTTAAAGACTACCAAACACATAGTCTTTTAAATGAGAACAAAAAAACCAAACCAGTTGCCATCAAGTCAGTTCTGATTCATGGGGGCTCATTGTGTTTCACATTAGGACTGTACTCCACGGGTTTTTCAATGACTAATCTTTCAGAAGTAGATTGACCATCCTTTCTTCTGAGGAACCTCTGGGTGGATTCAAACTGCCAACCTTTCATTTAGCAGCTAAAGGTTTATTTTATATCCTTGAGATTCCAAGATTTTCTAATTTTTTATGGTTCCTTGAGATATATTTACCTTGGAAGGGCAACATACAGCAAAGCAGGGCCTTACCTTTTCCTTGCACTGGATAATTTTCTTTCAAACGATGTCATTAGAGTTGATCCTAATTTAATCTTATAAATGCCAATTTCTTCTAGTTTACCTTTGATCTAAGTATTTGTTCTCTTCTTATTATTTTCTACATTATTTAACAGTAACGTAGCCATATTTTATGTTAACCGATTTGGTTGTCAAATGTATAGAATTCACAGATTTAATAACCACTTCATTTATTAAAAAATATTAATACCAAGTGTTCCCTTCTTTTGCTATCTTAGAGATCATTTAATTAATTACATTTTCCAACTGTAGCATGGGTACTTAAAAAAAAAATTAGTACTAAAGATTTTTACCTGACTTGGGATTATAGTCTTTTAAAGAAAAAAAAGAAGTTTATACAAGGTCCAAAAAATCTTTTACTTTTTCCAAGCTAATTCACAGCTGTATACAAAGCTATTTGCCATTCTTTTCTAACATTTTCTCATTTTGTTTTTTACATTCTTAGAAATTCCAATCAGTTTAATTGTTTGACAGAATTTTCCTGCGTTTCCTCAGAAGGTGTAAATTCTTCAAATGCCAGCAACATATACTAGAATATTTCTCAGGAGTGGAAGCTAATTGCAACTTGGTTTACTGGGAATGTTGCTTGAGAGTCTTTTTGTTTGTTTTAAACCAATATGCTGTACACTAGAAAAATAGAACTTAAAACCAATGTCTTCAAAGTAAAAAAAACACACTATGTTCTGTAAAATTACTTTGCCATGATAGCTACATACATAGACTTGAATTGCAATCATTTTTCACTGACACTAGTTGGTACTTTTGTGAAAATTAAAGTAGTTTTTACTTGTTGCAACAAATCTAGAGCATTAAAAATGAGATTTATGCTTCATTCTGAAAATACAGATGGCTTTTTTCCCAAGCAAAAAGTTCTTTTTGCTATTGAGCAATTTACATTAAGGGCCCTCATTCCTTCTTCCATCCTATCTAATATTATCTCTTTATTGTGTATCCAAAAAGGGTATAATTTATGAAATTTGATAGAAAAAAATCATAATTTCTTATGCCAAAAATTTGTATTCCAGAAAATAATTGTTCTTTCTGCAACAAAGGCTCCCTACAGTATATAATTGCAGAGCATTTCCTGACAGTCCAACAAAATCAGGCACAATATGTATGTACTTTATATCTTTAAAGGTGGTATATATATATATCATCTTGACAGCTTACATATATATATATATATACACATCCCTTATATACAGTCATCCCTTAGTATTTGCAGGGGATTGGTTCCAGGACACCCCGTGGATACCAAAATCCACAGATGCTCAAGTCACTTATATAAAATGGCATAGTATTTGCATATAACTTATGTATATCCTCTCATATACTTTAAATCATCTCTAGATTACTTATAATACCTAATACAATGTAAATTCTATGTGAAGAGTTGTTTTACAGTATTGTTTAGAGAATAATGGCAAGGAAAAAATCTGTTTTTTTCCTCTAATATTTTTGATTTATGGTTGGTTGAATCCGTGGATGCAGAACCCATGGATATGGAGGGCCAACTGTGTATGTATATCTATATATACATACACACACACACTCATACCACGGATAGAGCACAAATTTATTTGATGATGTAAGACACATATATTCATCTACCATTGGGAAAAGGAATAAACTTATTAACATAGTTTTATTGCCAAATGCAAACATTTTTCAACTCTTATCTCATTTTCGCCACTCTCAAAAAGCATTTATTTCACACTGATTTCTTTGACTGCTAGCTCCTATAATTCAAGCATCTGATTTGGACATAAATAGCTACCTACTGCTGAAAGTTTACCATATTCTCAACACTTTTGAACTAACTTAGAAGTAGATGTAATTGATATGCAAGATGATATATGTTGTTGAATAACTTGACCTCTAGTTTCAGACTCAACAGTGTTTATCAAAGAGCTGAATGATACTTTTAAATGAGTCATTATGAATCCCAACCCCCACCTGTCACCCCACCCCCCTGAGTGGCACTGGACTGTTCCACTGACCCTGCCCGCCTGACTTCACCCCCCCCACAAACCTGGCTCTCTGAGTGGCACAGAACCACTCCGGTGACCCCACCCACCCAAGGCAAGCAGAGGAGAATGTGCTCCTGAGCCTCTGCTGCTCTGCCACAATCACCACACATACAGCCCCACCCACTCAGCAAGTGCCATCGCCCACTCCTGTGCCAATGAACAGATGACAGACGGTGGCCAACACCCACCCAGCCTATCTTCAGCTGCCCCACACAACCAGTGAACAGAGATCCCCCCACCCACACTGCCAGCTGCTACCATGCCTACCAGAGCCAGGTGGTGAGCACCCTGGTGTTGCCAAACTAGCAGCCAGCATAGCACACCTGCCCCTTCCAGTCAGATATATCAAAACAAAACAAAATAAAAACCAGGATGCAGCAAACAAATATACAATCAATCAATAAATATAATACCACTTTAATGCCTCAGAAAGACAATATCAAATCACGTGAAGAAACAGGACAAGATACCTCAGGCAAGGGACAGAATTAAAAGCAGAAAACCTTCCCAAGGAAGAAATGGTAATGGAAGTACCTGATAAGGAATCCAAAAGACTTATATATGGATCTTCCAAGAGATCAAGAAAGAGATCAAGAAAACAGAAAAAATCAAAGAAAACAGACAAAACTCTAGAAGAATTCAGGAAAACAAACAAGAACAAAATGACAAAATAAGTAGACAATTAGAAACCATATAAAAATTGCAATTGGAAATCCAGAAGATTAACTATAAAATTTCAAAAACAGACAACTCAATGGAGGAGCGTAGAAGTAGAATTGAATCAATAGAAAGACAAAATCAGTGAAATAGAGGACAAATCCCTTGACACTAATTTGTTTGAAGAACAATCAGAAAAAAGAATGAAGAAAAATGAAGAAAGCCTAAGAGTTATGTGGGACACTATCATGAGAAATAATTTATGTGTGGTCAGAATTCCAGAATAGAAGGAGACAAAATAGAAAAAGAAAAAGAAAAAAAAAAAGGACAAAGAAAATTTTTGAAGATTTGCTGGCAGAAAAGTTCTCTAATATCATGAAAGTTGAGAAGATAACCATCCAAGAAGCTCAGAGAACCCCATACAAGATCAATCCCAAAAGAAAGTCACCAAGACATATCATAATCAACCTTTCCAAAACCAAAAATAAAAACAAAAAAAAAATCTTGACAGCAAATCAAGAAAAACAAACTCTCACCTACAAAGGTAAACCAATAAGACTAAGCTCTGATTTATTGGCAGAAACCATACTTGTAAGAAGTCAATGGGATAACATATATAAAGCTTTGAGAGAAAAAAATTGCCAACCAAGAATTATATATCCAGCAAAATTGTCTCTTAAATATGATAGCAAAACTAGGACATTCCCAGATAAACAAAAATTAAGGGAATTTGTTAAAACCAGACCAATCTTACAAGAAACATTAAAGGGAGTCCATCGGACAAAGAACCAACAACATCAGAAAATAACCTGAGATTAAGAAACTTGACAGCATTACCCAGATACCAACCCAGATAAATAATTCTCAAAAACAAAATAAAGCTATGAGACTGAAAACAGGGAACCAAAGACATCAATCTATGAAAGATGACAGCTTCAGAATAAAAAAGAGGGAATAAGTGGTGTAGTTACAGAACCTCCATATGGAGAGGAAGTCAAAGCATTATCAAAATAGAACAGTCTGTTTTAAACTTAGGAAGATAAAGGTAAATTTCAGGGTAACCACGAAGAAAACTAACAAACCTACTCACCAAAATAAAAAAGAAGAAAATTATATAGACTCAGTAAACACAAAATCAACAACAACAAAAAAAGAAAAGAAAATCCATACACAAAGAAAACTCACTAAAGAAAAGTAAGCAGAACAAAGTAACCATCAACACCACGAACACACACATACACACAGGTACACACATAATAAAATGACAGCAGTAAATTCATACCTATAGATAATCACACTGAATGTAAATGGTTTAAATGCACCAGTCAAGAGAAAGAGACTGGCAGAATGGATTAAGAAAAACATGACTCATCAATATGTTGCCAACAACATATTGAGACACACCTTAGACACAAAGATAAAAATAAGCTAAAAAGCAAAGGATAGAAAAAATACATTAAGCAAACAGTAACCAAAAAAGAGCAGGAGTGGCAATATTAATCTCTAATGAAATAGACTTTAAGACAAAATCCAGTGCAAGAGACAAGGAAGGGCACTATATAATGATTAAAGGGTCAAGAGGATATAACTATAATAAATATTTATGCACCCAACAACAGAGCTCCAAAATACATAAAACCAGCATTTATACAAAACCAACAGCCAACATTATTCTCAATAGAGAAGGAAACCATTCCTCTTGAGAACAGGAGCCAGACAAGGATGCCCTTTATCACCACTTTTATTTAATATTGTACTGGAAGTCCTAGCTGGAGCAATAAGGCAAGAAACGGAAATAAAGGGCATCCAAATTGGTAAGGAAGAAGTAAAACTATCCCTATTGGCAGATGGATATGATCCTATACATAGAAAATCCCAGGGTTTCCACAATAAAACTACTGGAACTAATACAAGGATCAGTAAAGTGACAGGGCTCAAGATCAATATACAAAAATTAGTTGGATTCCTCTACACCAACAAAGAGAACTTTGGGAGGGAAATCAGGAAAATAATACCATTTACAATAGCACCCTCCCCCAAAACAGATAAAGTACTTAGGAATAAACCTAACTAGGGATGTAAAAGAGTTATACAAAGAAAGCTACAAAACACTACTGCAAGAAACCAAAAGAGACCTACATAAATAGAAAAGCATACCATGCTCATGGATAGGAGGACTTAACATTGTGAAATGTCAATACTACCCGAAGCGATCTAAAAATACAATGCAGTTTCAATCCAAATTCTAACAACATTCTTTAATGAAGTGGAAAAGCTAATCACCAACTCTATGGAAAGGAAACAGTCCCTGGATAAGTAAAGCATTATTGAAGAACAAGAACAAAGTAGGAGGCCTCACAGATCTCAGAACCTACTATACAACCATGGTAGTCAAAACAGCCTGGTACTAGTACAACAACAGACACATAGACCTATGGAATAGAATTGAGAGCCCAGAAGTAAATCCATCCACCTATGGACAACTGATCTTTGACAAAGGGTCAAAGTCCATTAAATAGAGAAGACACAGTCTCTTTAACAAATGGTGCTGGAAAAACTGGATATCCATCTGCAGAAAAATGAAACAGGAGCCATACCTCACACCATACACAAAAACCAATTCAAAATGAATCAAAGACCTAAATATAAAACCTAAAACTATAAAGATCATGGAAGAAAAAGTAGGCACAATGCTAGGGGGCTGAGTGTATGGCATAGAATAGCAAACATAACTAAAAATTCACAAACAGTTCAAAATAAACTATGGGATCTCCTAAAAATTAAACGCTTATGCTCATCAAAAGACTTATCCAAAAGAGTAAAAAGAGACCCTACAGACTGGGAAAAAATTTTGGACTATGACATATCTGACAAGGGTCTAATCTCTAAAATTTATAGAAAACTTCAACACCTCAACAAAAAGACAAACAATCCAATTAAAAAAAGGGCAAAGGACATTGTCAGACACTTCAGCCAAGAAGACATTCAGGCAGCTAATAAACACATGAAGAGATCTTGATGATCATTAGCCATTGGAGAGATGCAAATCAAAACTACAATTAGATACCAGCTCACCCTGGCAAGAATGGCACTGATCCAAAAATCAGAACACAACAAATGTTGGTGAGGTGGGGAGATTGGAACTCTTATACGCTGCTGGTGGGAATGTGAAATGGTATAACCACTATAGAAAACAGTATAGTGCTTCCTTAAAAAGCTAGAAATAGAAATATAATATGATCCAGCAATCCCACTCCTATGTATATATCCTAGAGAAATTAAGAACTGTGACAAGAATAGACATATGAACACCCATGTGCATTGCAGCATTATTCACAATAGCAAAAAGATGGAAACAAACTAAATGCCCATCAATGGATGAATAGATAAAAGAAACTGTGGTACATATACACAATGGAATATTATGCAACAATAAAGAATAATGATGAATCCGTGAAACATATCACAACATGGATGAGCCTGGAGGACGTTATGCTGAGTCTGTCACAAAAAGACAAATATTGTATGAGACTACTATTATAAAAAGTTAGAAAAAGGTTTACATACAGAAACTAATATTCTTTGATGGTTACTAGGGATGGGAGGGGAAAGGAGGGAAAACCACTAACTAGGTAGTAGACACATGTTAACTTTGGTGAAGGGAAAGGCAATACACGATATAGGGGAAATCAGCACAACATGACTAAGGCAAAGAAAGACACTGAGAGGTACGCAAGAATTAAAGGCAGCTACGCTAAATACTACAACATATACAACCCTGCAACAACAGTAATAACGAACAATAATTTATGAATAGATACATAGGCAGATATGTATGCTGAGTAGGTATGGGAGTGTATATGGGAGTACACCCATGTGCATTTATAGACAAGGTTGTGGATACTTCTGCATGCATATTTGTCTGTGCTGCAAGTATAGTCATATATACAATGGAGTACACAGAGAGCACAGTCAGGGAGGCTTCTTAGACATAACCAAACACATCATGGGACTGAGTTTCTGGGCTTCAGGGCTAGGGACCATAGTCTCGGGGGACATCTAGGTCAATTGGCATAACATAGCTCATAGAGTCAATATTCTACATCCTACTTTGGTGAGTAGTGTCTGGGGTCTTGAAACTTGCTGGCAGCCATCTAAGATAATAGCTTGGTCTCTTCCTATCCAGGGTAAAGGAAAATAAAGAAAACTAAAGTCTCAAGGAAGCAATTAGTCCATAGGACTAATGGCCCACAGGAACCACAGCTTCCACTAG